ACCGCGAGAAAAATAATAAAGTAGATGAGCTAGCCGGTTTTGTATCAATGGCAAACACGTCGATCCCACACCCATTGTTAATAGACTTCTTGCCAAGACTAAGTATTGAAGAGTCGGAAGCGGCCGAAGAATGCTGCGCCGATCTAGGTCCTTCCTGGATGGACCCCATTATAGTGTTTTTAAAAGACGACATTCTACCTGAAGAAATGAAGAAAGCCAACAAAATTCGTGCCAAATCACAGTGGTTTTGGCTTTCCCCATCCCTAGAGTTGTACAAGAAGTCCTTCACAAGATCATACTTGATATGTGTCCATCCTAACAAGGTCGAAGCATTCTTGTTTGAAATTCATGAAGGCGTGTGTGGGAGTCATCAAGGAGGGCGATCCTTGGCTTACCGAGCTATTTCACAAGAGTATTAGTGGCCGTATATGCAAGTGAATGTAGAGAAGTACATCAAGAAATGTGAGAAATGTCAAAAGTTCGCATATCAAATACATCAACCAGCTAGAGAGTTCCTGCCTTTGACCAGCCCTTGGCCCTTTGCAATGTGGGACTTGGATATAGTAGGACCACTCCCAATTGCACCGGGCAACAAGAAGTTCTTTCTCGCGACAACGAACTACTTCACAAAGTAGGTGGAAGCAGAAACATTCGCATCCATCAAAGAAAAAGACGTCAAGAAGTTTGTCTAACAGAACATCATAACTCGATTTGGAATTCCCAAGGCTTTAATATCTGACAATGGCACTCAGTTTGATGAATAATCTTTAGGGGTTTTTGCAAAGAATACAAGATAGAATTTTATAACTCTACGTCGGCGTACGCCCAGGCCAATGGCCAAGTTGAAGTTGCCAATGGCCAGGCTGAAGCTTCCAACAAGGTCGTCTTAGATGGTCTAAAAAAGAGACTGAAAAAAACAAAAGGCAAATAGGCTGAGGAACTTCCCCACGTCTTATGGGCTTACCAAACTACACCCTGGCAGTCAACTGGCAAAACACATTTTTCCTTGGCTTATGGCATGGAGACAGTAATCCCTCTGGAAGTTGGCCTCCCCATCATTAGAGGCGAAAATTTTGATCCAGACTTGAATAGAGAGGCCATAACCCTAGACTTAGACCTTGCAGAAGAGAGAAGAGAAAGGGCACTGGTACACATTGCCTCATATCAACAGGAGTTGTCCAAGAAATATAATAAAGCGGTGCACCCAAGGCAATTTAATATTAGAGATTGGGTACTGCGCAAAGTAATGGGCAACAATTTGGTGCCTGGAGATGGCAAATTAAGACCTAATTGGAAAGAACCGTACAGAGTGATCGATTTAGCAGGAAAATGGGCATATCATCTAGAAGATGTGGACGACAGAGCTATTCCAAGGCCATGGAACACGGCCAATCTCAAAGTATTTTATTTTTAGTTCTTTCTTAAACACTTGTAATTTTTCTTTCAATAAAACAAGTAGACATTTTTTTCTGTAAAAATTTTTTCCTCTGTTTGTAAAAAATTTTCATACTCATTGCCCGACTGGGGGGCAATCAAGAAGGTTGGCAGGTTTGCCTAACTCTTTTTCATTCTTCAGCCGAGATAAGAATTTAGGCTCAAGAAAGTTGGCAAGTTTGACCAACACCTTTTTCATTCTTCAGCCGAGATAAGAATTTAGGCTAAAAAATGTTGGCAGGTTTGACCAACATTTTTCATTTTTCAGCCGAGATAGGGATCTAGGCTCAAAAAGGTTGGTATGTTTGACCAACATTTTTTTCATTCTTTAGCTGAGATAAGGATCTAGGCTCAAGAAGGTTGACAAGTTTGACCAACACTTTTTTATTCTTCTACCGAGATAAAGATCTAGGCTCAAGAAGGTTGACAGGTTTGACCAACACTTTTTTTATTCTTCAGCCGAGATAAGGATCTAGGCTCAAGAAAGTTAGCAGGTTTGACCAACATCTTTTTTATTTTTAAGTCGAGATAAGAATCTAGGCTTAAGAAGGTTGGCAGGTTTTACCAACAGTTTACACTATTTAGCCTAGATCAGGATCTAGGCTCAAGAAGGTTAGCAGATTTGACCAATAGTTTACACTCTGTAGCCAAAATAAGGATCTAGGCTAAAAGAGGGTGGGCAGGTGTGGCCAACAGGTTTTTTCTTTAGCTGAGGTAGATATATCGACTAAAGAAGGTTGGCAGGATGAGGCAGAGCTGTTAAGCCCGGCCACGTATGCAGTCAAAATACAATAAAGGAAAAGCACAGTGACTGAGCAAGAAGAATACAAAATGTTTTTCATTAATTGAAAAATGATTACAAAAGGTATGGCACATAGCCCGATTATACTTCAAAGAACAAAAAACAAGCAAAAAACAAGAAAAAAGGCTTCATGGTCAAACAAAAAGGTCATCAAGGTCAGTATCAAGGTCACCACGGACTTCGCCACTAGGCAGGTCAGTTCCAGCTTCAGCTTCAGCTTCCTGGATTAGATTGGTCACAAGCACTCCATCAACCGTGCTTGACACAGTTTGGCTAAGCAGATCCACCTGAGCGGGTAGTGAAGACTAGCCACCGAGGTTAGTGTTAGCAGGAGAAGCATTAACTAGGTCAGAGGTCTCCTCTTCCTCCTCCCCCTCCTGAAGGAACTTCTACTAGACTGTGTTTGCATAGTTCGTCATATAGCTCGGTATGAAGTAGGGAAGAGGGTTCAGGAAAATTTCGAAGTCATGCCCCTGACCGAGCTTTTTAGCCGCAACCTTCCAGCCGCATTTGAAGAATGTCTTTGGCTGCTTCACACTATTGGACGTCGGTTTCTTCTCCCTCATTGAAACCCCAATCCTCAGTGTCCTCCGTCTTTTTCTTCCACTCCTAGATCTTAGCATTCTTTTTCTTTTCTAGCTTGGCGAGCTCACGCAAATAGTGGTCTTTTTTCTCGGCCAAGGCTTTTTGCTTGTCAACCTAGGCCGTGTTAACTAGCTCGACCAATCGTTCATTTTCAACAATCACCACGGCTAGTTTCGCATTTACCTCTTTCAACTCGACTGCCTTGGCGTTTGAATCAGCCACGACCAACCACCCTGTTTTTCATAATTCAAACACACGTTTGTGTGCTACATGGTTTTTTTGCAAGGCTTGCAGTTTAAATGAAGAGGTGTTAGGCTGCAAGCCGAGCAAATAGTTAAACACAGTAGACTTAAATTAACAAGTGGAGGACTTACTAGCACCATGGACTTCGAAGCCGAACGAATGGCCTTGAGTTCGGTCAAGTGGTCGTGATGCTCCATGTCCGCTGGAAGGCAAAGGCATTTTAAAAGGTTGAACGTGAGTATGTGGTCCTTTTCAGCAACCATTGAATCCTTGGTGAACATAGCGCGGTTTTTGTAGGACATTGTTGATGCCCATCGAGGAAGGAAAGAGGGGCTTGCTCAGCCAGAACAGATAGGCTCTGGGTTCGGCAACACAGAATCAAGAAGCACGATCTCTTCCTCATCCACCAAATGTTATTGTTCAGTCGACGAGGTGTGTGCACGCTTGTTCTGCCGAGATGTGGTTGCCTTGGTGGTTGGAAGGGCGACCACTGTCTCGCGCAGTTGACCGAAGGACGCTTGCTCAGTTTGGATGTTGGCGGAGGACTGTTCGGTAATAAGAGCTCACACAGCCCTTTTTTTGGCCATCTCTTGCTCTTCGGTGAGGGGAATAAGGTTGATCTGAGGTAGGTTGGGATCCGGTTCAAGCGAAGACTCAAGCAGGAAGTCTGGGACTCTGCTTTTCCTTTTGCCACTGTAGTGATATGACGATACTACTCCTAAAAGCTCGATCCAATCGCGATGGCGATACCGTAAGGCAGCTCGTAGCGCGACATGGTTAGCGTAGGCGTAGTCTGTCTTCAGCCAATTTAGATCTGCGAAAAAGAACAAGTGTTAGCACGACTACCTAACGATGCAATTTTAGAACGACCAAGCTATGCTCACCAGGGGTCCCTTTGTTCCAATTGATGTTGTAGCCCGATATTTGGGCCTCCGGATCTTCAAAATTACCAGAGACCCAGAGAAAATCATCGTCGTTCAGATCCTTGTCTGGCGTACGCTTGACGATTTTCTCTTGGCCCTTTCTAAAGCGTAGGAAATGGACCCAACCATCGTCATTTTGGCCGAGCGAGTATTGATGAAATAGCTCGGCCAAACCAAGGTTAAGACCGAGTCAACGATTCAGCTCAGCGATTACATTTATTATTCTGTATGTGTTTGTGGATAATTGAGTGGGACACAATCTGGTTTGCCTAAGAAACTCACAAATGAGGGGCTGGACAGGAAACCGTAGCCCAGCCTCTACGATGGATATAAGAATAAAAGGGACGAAGCCTGGTTTGCCCCAGGGCATGGTGTTCAGTTCAACTAGCTCTAATTATACATGGTCAGGGATGTTGTATTCCCTTCAGAACTCGGCTATGGTACCGGGAGAACTTACGAGGAATCGGTATTTGCCCATGGGTGAATCTATATTTTGTTTATAAGTATCTGCTCGACTCCTTAGCCCGGCGTTGTGGTGAATGGTGTGCCTAGATAAAACCTAGTCAAAGTTTGCACAGTGAAAAACATAGAATGTGTTATGGCCATTTAGTGACCGAGCTAGGACATCAGTGTAAATTAGTGTTATACCATTATTACTAACCCCATTTATTATACAAATTACAAATATCCAAAACCTCTAAAATCACGTCACATCATCTATTAATATATTAGTTTAGTACATTAATTGATATACCTAGTATTATTCTAACCCTTATCACTGCATATATAGTTGTTATTTAACACTACTTTTGTTTAGACCCAAAAAATAAAAATAAAAATTATAATGATTGATATCATTACAACCCCACCCCCCAAAAAATAAACTAAACTCTTACTCAAATATGATGACTCCAATAAATTATATCAAAAATGACAGCCGAAACGCCATAATCCAATCGAAAAACATGAATGACAATGCAACAGAAAGTGAAGGGCAATCCTCAAGAACAGTATTGCAGAACATGTCATGTGATGTAACATTGCAAAGCCAAATCACACCGCTCAATTGTAAACATATTTGAAGAAAAGGATGGTCAAAAAACAAGTAAATTTAACAAGATTCACGCACTATAATTTACTAATGTAATGTAAGAGTGAGAATACTAGACCAAATTACACTAGCTAGTTAACTAAAGGACTTTACAGAGCTATCTTAACAGTCAGAACTACAACATCTGTTATTGCTTAAGAAGAGGGTGAACAGGTAGTTAGGGTAACTTAGTTGGATGCAAATCATCATCAAATGCCTTCTTCGGGGCTTGACCTTGCTTACTTTGGCCTCCCTGAAGGATCACAAAAGCATTTCATAGGACAATACACATTGCACAATAACATAGAAAATCTAGATTGCTGACGCAACAATTTTCTCCTATCTATTTGAGATATTAAAATTGATTACTTTTACAACACATGCAGTTCACACCCGTAGATTGCAATGGTGTGAGAATGTACTAAAAATTCCTGCTAGTCAATGCCATTTACATGTAGACCTTGGAGACAGTTCTTTGTGGCCTCTATTTTTTTTTGAGGAAGTTTCAATCTAGTTGCTTAAAAGCAACAAAAGCTGAAGTTACACCAAAAGATTTGCTGCATCAACTTATATTCTATCTTTGAAAAAAAAAAAGGTGCTGAATGGTTTAAAATTTTGGATTATGTTTTTTGATGGAAGCACAACGCGTCAAAGAACTTTGCATTGGGCATGTGCAAGACCTTCTAATTTGCATTCAAACACCAACTCAACATTAAAATCTTAGTTCATGATTTCCAGCAGGCATGCCACAAATTGATCAGATATGAATTACAAAAAAAAATCTGGTGACTTACTGCAGTCTTTTGACCAGTCAACTTCCGATTTGAAGGAGCCCGAGCAACTGCAGCGGCAGCAGCCACACGGATCCTGCAATAATCACGAATTCAAACAAGCATTTATGTGGAGTGAACACAAACAACAGGCCCAACAAAGTCAGATTGTAAATACCTGTTATGTACATCAACATATACATCTGTCTCATCTACAATTTCCTCCTGCATTGGTGAATAGCAAAATTAAAAATCACCCAGGAACCACAGACCAAGTAAACAAATGAAGAAAAACGAGGCACTTCTCTAATTATAATTAAATTAAAAACAAAGTATCATGCGAATCAAATGATCAGGCCATGGAAGGGTCTTGGCCGATAGAAGTTATGAAACATACAAGCATCAAGTTGAAATGTTTTCCATGTGCATCAATTAAGAAATTCTAGAACAAAGAAAAGAAATTTGAGGGAAAGAAACAGAGATTACTTGTAGAAGTTCTTCAAAAACATCCTCCAACGTAATGATGCCAATTACTTCCCCTTCTTCATAATCATCTGAAAGATGGGTCAAATTTTTTGTTGAGGCAGCATTTTGTTGAAAAAAGTTTTGCTTGTTTGTAGTGGTTGGCATTGGCCCCTTATCAATGTTGATAACCACATTATCTGCATTTTCATGCAGCTTGGGTAACAAGGGGGTAGTTAATTGGGAATTCCCATCAATGCTGTTATTTTCTTCAAACTTCTCTCCACCGAAGGCAGGTTGAGCTTTCTTGCTTTTTCCTTTAACCTTCACAACAGCGGCCATATGACTGCTTCCCTTCTGAAACTCATTGAGGATATCATACAAGGGCATATCTGCTGGAACCCTGAAATATTTTGTTATTAAATTAAATTTTGGAATTAAATCTAACATAAAAAGATGAATAAAGGACAAATGAGCACACCGAGGAATTCTTCGGATGGAAACTGCACTAACTGGAGTCTCTGTTTCTGCTCGTACAGTGAGAAGACTTTTCACCTATCTCCCAAACAAAAAATATATATAGTGAAAAATAGAAAGAAGTGATCAATTCTACAGTCAGCTGGCTACTGATAATAGAATCATGCTAAAAAAAAGTCGATTCCTGAGAATTTTCAAGTTTCAAGACCAACCAGTAAGAGTCCAATGATGTTGGTTGGATTTCCAGAATAGACAGGAACACGACTATGACCTCGTGCAAGAATTTTTCCAATTGCTTCCCTGCATAATAAGATATTATACACCCTATTAAAGGGGCCTACACAAAGAAGATATGTCCTATTTAAGAAATAATCCCTCCCAAGGTAAAGGCTGAACTTTCAGCTATTTCTTTTTCAATCCAAAAGCTTCATTATTATTAACTGCTGTAGTTGATACATGTCTACGCATAATCAGAATTCCAAACATTAGAAAATATTTTTAAGAAAATATTCTCTTCATCCCCCATTATCATGTTTGTCCACTAGAGTCAACCACACAAATCCAATTTATTATCCCTTCAAGGCAGCAACTAAAAGAGATAATCAGGAAAATAGAAAGAGAAAGAAAACTAAATCTATCAACTGAAATAAAAATAACAATAAAAAAAGAAACATAATATCATTCATGGCTGAATAAATTAGAACCTCACAAAAGAATTGAACAATGTCGTGATGAGGTTGTCTACCGAAAAGCTAGAATTTTAATCCAAAAAAACAGAGTAATTAGTTTCCTTAGCCACTTTGATTAAAGCAAGAAGTAAGACTAGGCAAAAGCAATTTTGGGAAAATTCAATAACAGACTCACCAATCCAATTTTGAATTGACATCCAACGAAAATGTTGATTCAATCGGTGTCATAGCCTCCTCTGCAGTCTGCACATATTCCAAGAACTTCAGTCCTAAGATCATTCTATCAACAATGACAATAGACAAAGCACATGCAGATATAGTTACAAAAGCCAGGATTTCTTGAAATCAATCGATGTAGAGTGACACCTTATAATAAGAAATAAGACCTATGATATTGTGGGACACTAACTGCAATTGAATTGTTATCAATTAACAGCAAGGCAGCTAGTAGCAGTATGAGAACAACTTGAATAAGAAATAAAACTAGATTTAGACAAAATAGAAATATCATACCATACCCATGATCATAACCCTTCTAACTTCTAAGTTTGACTAGTACCAAACAAAACATTTAAGAAAAGCTTAAACTTTCAACCGCCCCTGCCAAAGGCTCATTAATGATTCAAAGGTTTTGTTCAATGGAATACAGTATAATTTCAACTTTCAATGCCTTCTTTAAAAGTAGTTTGCTACTAAGAAGCACAAACATGGACACATGACACAATATGAATACACTGACATGACAAATTTAAAAAAATGCAAAACACCACATGTGAGGGACACATGCAAAATATATAATTTTATATATTTATTATACGTCATATATATGAATATTTCATGCAAACAGAATAAAAAAATGCAACATAACACCAATTCCTAACATTCAAAGGAGAGATTAAAAGGTACAAAAATACAAGTTTTTTTAAATCATTGTATCCTAATTTATGATGGCAGAGGCATCATGTGTGTCTAAGTGATGGACACAAGTGTCCAAAGCATGTCTGGGTCCAAAACATTAAAAAAAAATATAATAGGACACATTTGGATGAATGCTTGATGATGGCAGAGGCATTGTTATTATTACTTCTCCCAATGACGCACATCCAGCTAATAATGTTCATAAACCATAGAATAGGATGGATAAAAAATTGAAAACACATAATCCAAAGAAAGATGCATAGACAACAATATAAATGGCCCCTCCAGAATGCCTTCTTTTAACTGTAATACAAACCTTTGCAGTTAAGTCAAGTGCTCCACTTATGATAGTAGTCTCATCGTGCGTGAGTTCACCCCCCTTACCAGCCTAAGATTGACAATAAAAGCAACAACATTATGGGAAGATAAAAGAACTTAGAGAAGGAGATGCATGTATGCTTCAAAGCATTCCTTCACAAATTTATGCAAGTTTCTCATGACATGGCCGTAACTTGTGTCATCGTATGATGCTGCCATTCTCACTGATCCAGAATTTTAAGCATATGATAAGTTGTGGCTTGTCATGCAAACTTCAATTCAAGGTGTGTTACCTCTTGACCATGGATAGAGACGAGGGCTTTCAATTGAGCTCGCCTGAATAAAGCATCATTATGCCCAAGTACAGCATCTAGAACCTGGAAGCACAAGAAGTTAGCGGTTCAAATGCAGTAATTTGTCCACAAGTAAAGTTTTGCTAATGCTAACTAGGAGACTTCAAATTCAAGTGCTACCTGGTCCTAATTTACAGAATTGCATATTATAGGGATGTCTAAATAAAATGCTAAAACAATTCCACCGGCAAGTGGACACACATGCAGACCCATATGCATGCACACAGGAAGAAAGACTTCAAAAAATAAAATGAAAGATCAAAGATACCCATAGACATAGCATCAACTCTTAGGCATAATCATACTGCAGGGTCCAGCGAGCCAAGACCCTCTGCCTAACCCAAATGTTGGAAAGAATTTTATAAGTTTTAATTTCTGAATTTATGAGTAATATCTAGATAATGCAGTTTCAAAGCCAATGGGTTTATTTGTCGACATGGATCACTAATAAAATCTAGATACAAGAGGTTTCAGGAACACTTGTGCTTCAGCTGAAATGAGCATTTTATGTCTTAATACTTTGGAGAATATATTGTATATATGACATGATTGTGTATATTAGGAATTAGGCATTAGGAAAGATTGTGGTGTAAATAGAAATCTTTGTTTAGATTTAGGACTATATAAACTGATATAAACATATACAATTAAATACACAGAAATCTTACATGGTATAAGAGCCAAAAACCCGAAAACTGTTGCTCTCTCTCAAACGTGAGTTGTGGGTGATCTTCTCCTCCAATCGCAGATTCAATTGTTGATTCAGTCGCAGTCGAAGTCGAAGTCGTGCTTCGTCTTCGCTGGTTGAAGTCGAGTGGTCTGGCCTCGTCTTCCTAGGTCAATCGACTCTGGTCGTGATCATCGGCGGCTTCTCTCTCTCTCTCTCTCTCTCTCTCTCTAGAATCACGATCGTGGCTTGATTGACCTCTCTCTCTGTGGTTCAACTCTGGTCGATCGACTTTTGCACTGCCTTGTCTGTATCATTCTGTCTCTATCTCTGTCTAGGTAATTCTGATTTCCGTATTTGGTTAAAAGCTCTTATTTACAGTTTGGCACCTTGTTATTTGATTATCATACTTCAACCTATTAATCTTTGGTTTATTACAATGACGGACACCAAAATTCAAGCCATCAGATGTAAACTCACTGGTGCCAATTATGCATATTGGGCTAGTGTTATGAAGAATTTCCTTCTTGGTCAGAAAAAATGAGACTATGTTTCTAGTTCTGTTCCTCATCCATTGGACCCAAAAGCAGAGGGATATCTGACTTTCTGTGACACTTGGGATTGTGATAATGCCTAAGTTCTGACTTGGTTTCATAATTCCATGGATGACCGTATTGCAATGATGTTTTCCAAATACAATACTGCCAAAGAGGTATGGGACTATTTATTAGGTGTGTATCAGCAGTCCAACTTTGCCAAGCGGTGTAAGTTGGAAACAACTATTCAGAGTGCTCGCCAACGGGATTAATCTATTCAGGACTTCTACGTTGAGATGATAGGCCTCAGGGATCAATTGGCTCTCATAGAACCGTCTAACCTCAAGACACTAGACGTTTATGTTGAGTTTTGAGAGTAAGGTCGTTTAGTACAGTTCTTAACGACTCTCTCCCCTCAGTATGAGGCTATTTGCGGTGGCATCCTTCATCGATCTCCTCTCTCCTCTGTGGATGCTATTGTTCGTGAACTCCTCTCCAAGAAAACCTGGCTTAAGATGACCAGTCAGACTCTATCTCCATCTGTCTTCTTGGCTCCTATTCAGCCTCCTCTGCTGTTGAACCCCCACCTCATTAGCTTCAGGCCACTGCAAAGCCCAAGAAGGGCCGTTAGTATGCTCAGTCTTCTCAGCTGTCCCAGCCATAGTTCCGAGATCCTGCTCCGAGTACTTTTCGCCCTCCTACTGCTTATACTGCATCTACTCCAGCTTCTGATCCTGTCTTGGCTTCCTTAAGTACCCAGATTGCTCAACTTCAGCATCTGTGGTCCACCTCTCAATCATCTTCATTTGCCTCTGCTCTCACTTCTCTTCATTCAAGTTTACTTTGAGTCTTCTTCAGGTATTCCTTCCTCTGTCTGGCTTTTTGATTCTGGTGCCTCTCATCATATGACCCCTCACATTTCCTTACTCTAAAACTGTATCTCCTCTCCCTTTCTTATTATTATTAATACTACTAATGGGTCTGGTATGTCTGTCCTATCTATTGGGTCTGTCTTATCCTCTGTCATGTCTGCTGTTACTATTCCCTCTGTTCTTTATGTTCCTCAACTGTCTGTTAGCTTGCTTTCTATCAGTCAACTTGATGCTTCTAGTTTTGATGTTATATTTTCTTCTTATGTCTGTTGTGTGCAGAATCGAGTGTCTAAGAAGCAGATTGGGACCGACCGCAGCGTTAAAGATCTCTATGTGGTGGAAAGCTTGCATCTTCCTCTGTTTACCTCCCCCGTTGCACTTTAATCTTTTCAGTTAGATTCTCAATCGAGTCAGTTTTATTTATGACATTTTCGCTTAGGTCATTTGTCTGTTGACCGCTTGCAGTCTTTAACTCAATCAGGATTGTTAAGTAAAGTTTCTCCTAGTCAAATTAATGAGTGTCGAGGATGTAAACTTGCTAAAATGACAGCTTTACAATTTAATAACAGTACTTCTATTTATGCTTCCCCTTTTTCTCTTGTATATACTGATGTCTGAGGACCTTCTTCTGTTCTCCCTAAAGGGGGTTCTGCGTACTATGTGTCCTTTGTTGATGATTGTACCCACTATACCTGGGTTTATCTTATGGCTCATAAATTTAACTTCTACCAAATATATTGTACCTTTCAATCTATGATCACTACACAGTTTGGGGCCACAATCAAAATACTCCGATCTGACTAAGGTGGGGAATACTTTAAAACTGAATTCTGTGAGTATTTGACTACATTAGGCACCATTCACCTAACCTCCTATACTGATACCCCTGTCCAAAATGGTTGTGTTGAGTGTAAACACCGTTATCTCCTTGAAATAGCTCGATCTCTCCTTCTCTCTGCCTTTGTTCTGGCATCATTCTGGGGTGAGATAGTTCTAAGGATCTATACTCCTAACCTCCCAATTATTCCCTCTTGCGTATCTTTAGGTCTGCTTGTTTTGTCCCCCTTCCACGTAAAGATAGGACCAAACTCAGTGTCCGATCTGTCGTGTGTGTCTTTTTGGGTTACAGTCTTACTTAGAAAGGCTACCATTGTTACAACCTTGTCTCTCGTCGCCTTTATGTCTCCCGCCATATCGCCCTTCTCGAATGTCCGTCTTACTTTCAGCTTCCCCTCTCACTACTCCCATTTCCAAAGAGGATTTGGTTCACATTGACTCATTTCCTTCTAAGGTCCCGTCTGATGATTACATCTCCACTATTCCTTCTGAGGCCATTCCTACTTCTTCGTCTGCGCCACCCATGACTCATTCTCTTCCTTCAGCTTCTTCTTCCCCTCCGGTGTTGGTCTATTCTCATCACAAAGCTCCCCCACCACTAGTTGTCTCTACTCTTGTTGCTACCCTTTCTGCTTCTAACGACTCTAATCTTGTTGCACACCAATATCCTACTCGTGAGCGTCGTCCTCCAAACAGGTTGGGTTGGTCCAATACATGTTTTTTTGCTTCCTATCGTACTTTTTTGTCTGTTATTCATTCTTTTCAGAACCTCAATCTTACACAGAGGCCTGTCAGGATCCTAATTGGGTTCAAGCTATGAAGGATAAGTTGTTTACCTTGCAGAAGACTAACACTTGCGAGTTAGTTCCTTTGCCTACTGGCAAGAATCTGGTTGGTTGCAAATGGGTCTATAAAGTCAAGACTCATTCTAATGGTTCTCTCAAACGCTACAAAGCTCACTTGGTTGCTAAGGGTTTCTCGCAGGAGTATGGTATTGATTATGAGGAGAAATTTGCCTCAGCTACCAAGATGACTACTGTCCGTACCTTGATTTATGTTGCCGCTATTCGACATTGACCTCTTTATCAAATGGACGTTAAGAATGCTTTTCTTAACGATCATCTCACTGAGGAGGTCTACATGCGTCCTCCCACTGACCTTCTCCACTCCTCTAGGCAGGTTTATCATCTTCAGCATGCTCTGTATGGTTTAAAACAGTTTCCTCGTGCTTTGTATGATCGCTTTCAGACTGTTGTTACCGAGCTTGGATTTCATCATTTAGCTTCTGACTCTGCTTTGTTTCTGAGACATACCTCGACTGGTTTTGTTGCTCTCCTACTCTATGTGGATGATATGATCATCACTGGTTTTAACTCTTCTGCTATCTCTGAAGTCAAGCAACATTTCTTCCGCACCTTCGAAATGAAGGATCTGAGTCCATTGCGGTATTTTCTTGATATTGAGGTTGCCTCTTCTCCAACGGGCTATTTTCTGTCTCAAGCCAAGTATGCTAATGAGGTTATTCACCATACCGGTCTTACTGATACTAAGGTTTCTGATACACCTATTGAGCTTAATGTGAAGCTCAACTCTACTGATAGTGTCCCTCTAGATGATCCCATTTTCTATCGCGAGCTTATGGGTTGTTTAGTTTATTTGACTGTCACTTGCCCTGATCTTGCTTATGCTGTTCATGCGATTAGTCAGTTCGTTTCTGCTCCTCGCTCTACCCATTAGGTTACTTTGGTTCGCATTATTCTCTATCTCCGAGATACCATCTTTCAGGGCTTACTGTTGTCCTCTACTTCCTCTTTAGGCTTGGTGGCCTATGCTGATTCTAATTGGGCTAGTGATGTTAATGATCGCAAGTCCACCTCTGGTTTCTATATGTTTCTTGGCGGTTCCTTGATCTCTTAGAAAAGCAAGAAACAAACTGTGGTTGCTCGCTATATTGCCGAAATTGAGTATCGTGTTATGGCTCGTGTTACTGCTGAGCTTGTTTGGCTTCATTGTCTTCTCTCTAATTTAGGTGTACCTCAGTCTTCTCCGACCTCTTTCTATTGTGACAATCACAAACAATCGCAATGCTATTCAAATTGCCCACAATACTGTCTTCCATGAACGGACAAAACACATTGAGATTGATTGTCACTTTGTCCGCCAGCATCTGCAGTCCGGCTCTATCTCGCTTCCTTTCGTCTCCTCGCCTTTGCAACTTGCGGACTTCTTTACCAAGACTCACGCTACCGCTCGTTTTCAGTTTCTTCTTCGCAAACTCTCAGTGTTTTCTACTCAAACACCTTGAGTTTGAACAGAGGTGTGAGAATATATTGTATATATGGCATGATTGTGTACATTAGGAATTAGGCATTAGGCATTAGGAAAGATTGTGGTATAAATAGGAATCTTTGCTATGAAGCACGGACACCTCTCCGAGGGCTCCGTACCAGTGTCAGACACGTGTCGGACACGGACACGCGTCGGACACGCAGTGGACACGTGTCCGACACGCATGGGAGAGTGTCCCATTTTTTTTTTAATTTTTTTACATCTGGACACGTTTTGGACACGTTATTGACACGTTTGGGACACGCGCGGGGTAATTTCACAGTTTAATAAAAAATTTTGGGGTCAATCTGAAAATAACCAAAAGCAGATCACATTTGCCCTAATCTGTTTAGCCCTATCTCTTCGATCGACTATGGAATAGAAGATAAACAGCTGAGAAAGAGAGAAAGAAAGAAGACCTGACTTCGTCGTACGTCGTCTCTCGTCGGTCGGCCAGCATCTGCAGTCCGGCTCTATCTCGCTTCCTTTCGTCTCCTCGCCTTTGCAACTTGCGGACTTCTTTACCAAGACTCACGCTACCGCTCGTTTTCAGTTTCTTCTTCGCAAACTCTCAGTGTTTTCTACTCAAACACCTTGAGTTTGAACAGAGGTGTGAGAATATATTGTATATATGGCATGATTGTGTACATTAGGAATTAGGCATTAGGCATTAGGAAAGATTGTGGTATAAATAGGAATCTTTGTATAGATTTAAGGCTATATAAACTGTTGTAAACATATACAACTAAATACACATAAATCTTACAATACTACCTGTGAAATTATAGTACTATAATGTAAAAGGCAGCATGGCATGTGACATATATTAGACAATTGCAGTACAAGGAAATCATTCTTCCATTATGCATAATATCCATAGACATAGCAACAGAAATGGAGTCACGTAGATAAAAATTACCTTTCCAATAGGGTAAGCAATAGGATAGCAAATGATCATCAAAATACGTACAAGCCACACAAAATTTGCTCCCACAGCAAGGCCATATCTTGAGCATATGGCTTGTGGAATGATCTGAACAGCATTAAATCGACATACAAGTCCCAATTAAATAATTGATTTGTAGTTAAAATAATTGCAATCAGGTTACTAAAAATTAGAAAACCAAATCTACCTCACCGAAAGCTAGAACAAAAGTTACAGAGAGCACAACAGCAACAACGGGATGAAAAAGTTTATCCAGATATATAGGAAGAGCCTGCATGAAACATTTATCATAAAATACAGAAATCAGTTAACAGCATAAGCATGGGACCTGATTGTTCTGGCCATAAAGTCAGAGCAAATTAGTAATCAATTAATGGAAAAGAATGCGTATAATTACCCACCTCCATGGCACAAGCATTACACAAAAGCAAAGTGACGAGAAGTTGGTGTTGCTTTTGAACAACCGGTAGGATAGCAGCTGAAAACAAAGAAACTGACAATTAAAATGTGCTGCATGACATCAATATGTATTAATTATTCTATTTTGTTACAGATCTCAAACTATCTATTATAAGCACCTAGCCCATACACATGGCATGATTTCAGATTCACTAGAATTATAAATGAAGACAGTTAAAATTGATGATCAACAGGTACAAAAGAATTGCAATTTAGTTGTTTAGGATTAGCTATCCATATGATTACATGAATTCCTAGGCATACTAGCTAAGGATGTGCTATACTGCCAGTCTGCCAGAGTACTTCTCTCAATCTGAACAGAAAGTAATAAAAGACAGCTATAATATGAAACTAGACATGCTTCAAGGAACTGACGCTCGGGTGATAAAAAAAAAACAGGCATGATGAAAATATTTACCGTCTAAAGCTTGCTCGGGAGAAAACCATTTGCAATTTTTTTGTGTAAACAAAGAAGTCGGGCTTAAAGCTTGCCGGCTCAATCTTGAAGAACCAAAAGCAAGGAGGTGTGGGACAAAGGTCTTTTATGCCTAGCCTCTTGAGGTGGAAGAGGATTTTCCATCCTGGGGTTGTGAATTTTAGTTATTTTTCAATATTATGTTAAGATTGTTGTCTTGTTTTAGCCTAGTCTCCTGGGTTTGCGAGAGGTTCTTTTTTAGTAGGCTAGGTCGGGCCACTTGATTTGCCTCTTTTTGGAGAGGGTGTAGCTTTCGTTTTGTTTGCGAGACTCTAGTGCTGAATTCACCGACGTCAAAGAAAGCCCGACATACCTCAAATACAAAGTAATAAAACGCTTAAAAATTAAAGAAATAGATAGCAAGACATCCCACTAAACAAGTGGCAAGAGTGTATTAAGTATAAGCATATGTTTCATAATTTGGAAGTGGCACAAATTGGGTCAAAACTGGTTCAAATAGTTTGATTATAAGCAAAAGAAAGAGATTAACAGTTATACAGTCAAGTCACGGTATGTCAAAAGATGACAAAGAGCACAAAAAATATAACATGAGTTAAAGCCAGTAACAGATAGGTCCACAAATGCTAAAGATAAAGAGATATTCGATTAGAGATGGAGAGAGATAGCTAATCCGAATTATTTCAAAGATTCCATCTTTTTTCCCTAAATTCTAATCCCAATTTTAAACAGGGTGAATCAACTTTAAACAGAGTGAAGAACCTGCTTGCTTCTTCTCCGTAGAAGTTCCACTTCTCTGAAGAATCTCGAGCTCTACTAATCCAAGAGACATCAAACCTAGAGTGAGCCCTGACATTATTCCAGCAAAAAGCACGAGAAAACACGACACTCCGGCGTATATGAACCACCACGGAGTCCCGAATTCGATGTCCTGAGTTTCGAATACAAACGGAATCGCAGTCATACCAGCTAGGGTTAGGGCATTCATCCACCGCATCGCCGAGAAAGAGAGAAAATAGAGTGGCTTGAGAGGGAGAGAGAGAGTCAAAGTGCAGTATCGTTCGCTCTGCCTGTTTGTTGCAGGTTAAAAGCAGTTTTTAGTTTAATTTAAATTATTTTGATGGGTTTAGTTTAATTTAATAATACAGTTTATATTTTTTTGTAAGTTAAAAATTAGTTTATTTTTTGAGTAGGGTAAGAGATGCTTAATTTATAAGTCAGAAATTAACTTATGTTCATAATTATAAGTTATAAACTATTAAAGTATAAGTTATAAGCACTTTCTCACAACCAAAGAAAAAAAGGTAATTAAGGGCCCAAAAAATTACCAACAAAAATTGGAAATTGATTCACAAACAAACAGAAGTTTTGTGTGGAAGCCCAGTTAGAATGATGTGGTATTGTTAAATTTCAAATTTATTAGCAATAATAGTTGGTGTTTAGTTTAAAATGAAAGGATTATAAAAAATTGCACCATTTTGTACAAAAATTATGTTTGTGTAGTATTTTATTTTCTGAATTTAATTTTTTTTTAAATTAAGTTTTTTATTTTTTATTTTTAATGAATATTTTAAAAAATTAATAAATATATAAAAACACAAAAAATATATTAAATTCTTATATTTTTTTATATTTTTGGTATTTGGTGAATTTTTAAAAGTTTTTTGGGTAAAACACCAATAAGTCCTAAATGTTAATGTGTTGAATCATTTGGTCCTACCTTTTATTTAGTAGACTAATAAGTCCTGTTTGAACGTTAATTACGTATCTACCCATTTAATTAACACATGACATTTTGTTGGTAGAGGGTAAATGTGAGATTTTAGTGATGTTGTAGTGACCAAAATACCAAAAAAATTACTATAGCCCTTTTAATGTGTTTCCATCAGTAGCAACCATTAGGAGCAAACATCAATAACATTACGGTGTGAGTTTAGATGGGTATATATGCAAACATCAGTAGCAAACATCAGTAACGTCGTTCAACAAACACAAACATAGAACATCAGTAACGTCGGTGAACAAATATCGGCTTCGTTACCCCCATTAACATCGCCGTCGTACACAAACACTGCAAGTTACGCCGACGATTCAGTCATCCTCGGAGTTGCTGACGTTGATGATGTTGCCAACGTTAATCATGTTGATGATGTCGCTGAAGTTACTGATGTTGATGATGTTATTGATGTCGCTGATGAAGGCCAAACATTGTCGTTGCGATGTTCATTCCGAAAATACCAGTCGTGTACATTGTCGTGTACATTGTGATGTATATATGTATTCAGAAATACCAGTCGTCGTCAATGTTGATGTTCATTCCGAATACACTGCAATGTTGATGTTCATTGCAAACGTTGATGTTCATTCTGAACAAATATCATCAGAACAAACATCAAACATCTCCTTTTCCCAAAGCTCTAACCCGAACATCATCAAGAAACATCAAACATCATATACAATATATCAAGGACAAACATTGAAAAAGTCATCAAAATGAAACATTCAGAACATCTCCTTTTCCATTTATCAAATAAAGAACAAACATCTCCTTTTCCAAACATCAAACATCATCAGAACAAACATTCAGAACAAACGAAACCTCTATCTCTGATGATCTAAATCTGATGATCTAAATCAAGGATGTCCCAAGCTCACCAATCTCTCTCTATTTTCTCTCTGTCTAGATCCTCCGCCGATCCACACCGATGTAGTACCACCGCCGTGAGATCGTGAGAGTCGTCGCTTCGCCACCGCTCGTCTACAACGTTTGTTCGATCCAACATTATCGGCGGCGACGATCAAGATCTGATACAATGTTTGTGAACATCATTAGAACAAATATGGGCAAAAATAGGCTCGTTTCGTTAGTCCTTGAGACATTGAATTTGAAATTTGGGTTGTGTTTGGATGCTGAGATTTCCATGGAAATGGATCCAAGGACGTTTGATGTTATAAAAATGAAGGAGTTGATGGGGTTGGGTGTGAACAGAGTGTCTTTGGGAGTTCAGGCATTTCCAAAATGGACTCAGATTGTATAAATGATGTTTGTATAGAGAGAGAGAGAGAGAGAAACAACCATTACAAATATGGGCAAAAATGTAAATTTCATACATAATATATCAAAAATATATATAATATTAAAAATAAAAAGGACTAAATGGTTTAAGAAAAAACATTTAGGACTAAGTAGGGCAACATTTATTAAAATGGGATCTATGAGTAATTTTTCCTAAAAATTTTGAATGATGTATAATAAGATTTATATACACAAATTAAATAAAAATATTTTATTTATATTAGAAAATACAACTAA